CTAATTATACTTCAACGACATCTTTTGATAAGTTTGTTGTGTTGTGAAGTGCCGTTGAGTCGATTCCAACCCATAGCAACCCTATATAGTGTTTCCGAGGAGCAGCTGTTGAGCTTGAACCGCTGATCTTGCAGGTCAAATGACTTTGCTGTTTGGCGCATTAACCCACAGCACCACACCAGGACTTACTTTGATAAGTAAGGGGTGTTTAAAAATTACAGTGGATAGAAACAATAATTGGATTTGCCCTTTCTGTCCTATTGTTGTTGTATGCTGTCCAGCCAGTTCTGACTCACAGCAACCCTGTACAGGGTTTCCTAGGAGCAGCTGATGAGTTTGAACTGACAATCATGTGGTTCAAACCAACCTTGCAGTCCAGTGATTAACCCACAGCACCACACCAGGACTCCTTTCTGCCTTTATAGATAGACTCATCCATCCATCCAATTGTTCTATCCAGTTAGTCAACAGACAGTAATTGAATGGAGAGTGTAGGCTAGACATTGGTATGATAACGATGCTACAGAGTCAGTATAAGATTGTGCCTAGTTTTCAGTTAAGAATCAGTGACCTGACAAATTTCGTCTATGAGTTAATTTTGATTGTTATAAAAGTAAGAAAAGGGAAACCCAGAGTGAGTTGGATAATACAAACTAAACAGAAAACAAAACAAGACCAGAAAATTATAGTTTAATTTTGTAGCCTTTTATCTTTTATTTTGGAAAGAGAGTTAAATATATAATTTTTAATCAGATAATATTTTCAATGTTTAAGAGATTTCATTTTTATGAATTTAATATCAGATGTTAATAGGTAAAGATTAATTACTATAGATAAGCAAATACTTTGATTTTCTACACTAGTTAATAATTTATTATACAATAAGTTTATTGTATAATAAATTATTATAATTGAATAATGAGTTCATATATGAAGAAGAACATTGCATCAGGATTAGATTCATTCTAATGGTAGGAAGATTCATTAACAACCTGCAATATGCAGATGATACAACTTTGTTTGCTGAAAGCAAAGAGGACTTAAAATACACCTCAGTGCGGGAGAAAGATGAGGCTTTCTACTCCCGTAAAGATTTACACCCTCGGAAACCCTATACAGGGTCGCTATGGGTCGGAACCGACTCTATGGCACATAACAACAACAACAAAGAAAACAAAATACAACTGGACCAGTAAACAACATCATGATAAATGGAGAAAAGATTGAATATGTCAAAAATGTCATTTTGTTTGAACGTACTATCAACACTCACGGAAGCAGCAGTCAATAAATCAAACGATGTGTTGCATTAGGCAGATTTGCTGCACAGTACCTTTTAAAAGTACTCAAGAGCAAAGATGTCAGTCTGAAGACTAAAGTGCACCTGGTCCAAGCCATGGTATTTTCAACAGCCTCCTATGCATATGAAAGTTGAACAATAAATAAAGAAAACTGTAGATTTGATGCATTTGAGTTATGGTATTGGAGAAGTATATTAAAGGTACCATAGATTGCCAAAAGAACAAACAAATCTGTGTTGGAAGAAGTATAACCAGGATGCTTCTTAAAATCCAAGATGGCTAGACTTAGTCTCTCATATTTCTGACATATTATCAGGAGAAACCAGTTGCTGGAGAAGGACATCATGCTTGGTAAAGTGGAGGGTCAGTGGAAAAGATGGAGAACCCCAATGAAATGGATTGGCAGCAATGGGTTCAAGCATAGCAACAATTGTAAGGCTGGCGCAGGGCTGGGTGGATTGGAACCAACTAGATGGCACCAAACAAAAATGAATTCAATATTATTGATGTTGTTGTTAAATGACATTGGGTCAATTCCGACTCATAGGAACCCTGTATGGGGTTTCTGAGGAGCTGCTGGTGAGTTTGAATTATCATTGCTGTTGCTAGTTGCCATTGAGTAGGTTCTGACCCTTAGTGACTCAGTATAGGGTTTCTGAGGAGCAGATGGTGAGTGTGAACCGCTGAACTTGTGGTTCAAACCAACTTTGCAACCCAGCACATTGGATTTATGTTCTGAGCAGTTGGTTTGCAGAGGCTATGATTTATAGTAGAAACCCTAAATCCATTGGGAGTCTTGACGTTGTTGTAAGGGAGAAAAGAGACCCCAGTCTTCACATGTGTAAATATTACAGACTCTTTATTAAGTCTTAAATAAGAATAAGACAAGACAACATAGATCATCCAGGAGAAGGGAATCATAGTCACCACAAGGATTTTCTGAAGTTCTACTTCCAAGTCTATCTTTTATAGGGCACAGAGAACAAAGGAACATCTTCTTACAACCAGGACTGATGGCAGCACTGAGACATGTACACATACAGGGCCTACGGAAGCAGGGCGGGGACTCTTGCAGATAGGAAGGCTTACAGACTGTCTCTGAGGTTCTTGGGGTATGACATCACAACAAGGCAACCATTAAAGGGTGTGCCCAGGAAAGTTCCTGGCAGGACCACTTTCCTGGGGGAAGTGGGAAACCCACTTTTAAGTAAATCTGCTTTTCACTTTGGCAGTTCAGCTGTCAGAGGTGCATGAGGTACTCAGGACAGATTGATATGGCAACACTTAAACCCAGGCAGAAGATGGAATTAAGCTCTGTCTGGCAGGAGTTGGTGTGCACAGGCAAAAAACCTTCAGGTAGCATGCTCTACAGCAAGTGTGGCACTGTAGATTACAGCACTGGACTACAAGGTGGTTTGAATCACAAGGTCAGCGGTTCAAATTCACCAGGTGCTCCTTGAAAGCCCTATACAGAGTCAGTATGTATCAGAATCTACATGACAGCATTTCACAACAACAACAACAACAATACAGCAACATAAATTCAGCTTTTAGTGAATTCTTTCTGACCACTAACTAACAGGAATTGTAAAAAGTTTTGCCCTCAGGAACAGTACATTTGAATGTGAATTGCTTTGACTCCCCACAACAGTCCAGAGAGAGGCATGTTTATCCCTCAGGGATTTGCCTGGGAGTGCCCTTAATGGAAATGAACTCCAGGTGTGGATAAGCACTGGACTACGGACCCACAAGGTTGGCAGTTCAAACTCACCAGCTGCTCCTGATGGTGGTTTGTGCCGAGGAGTAGGTTACAACTCATAGCAACCCTGCACAGGGTTTCCAAGGCTATAAATCTTTAAGGGAGCAGAAAGCCTTATCTTTCTCCCGCGGAACAGCTGGTAGTTTCGAACTGCTGACCTTGCGGTTCACAGCCCGATTCGTAACCACTATGCTACCCTATTTTGTTGTTGTTAAGTGCTGTGGATTCGGTTCAGAGCAGCGGCTGGGCTGGCGAGCTTCAGCCAATGACCTTTCAGTTCAAACCGACTATGCAGTCCAGCACATTATACAGCGTCACACCAGGATTCCCGGAAATCCTATACAGGCTCGTTATTAATCGAACTGACTTGATGTCACTTAACAACAAAAATGCCTAATCCTTGTGAGTTATACTTCTCCACCAAAGTTGTTGGAGGGCCCCAGAACCAATCCTGGGAATTTTTCTAATCTGCAATATTGTAAGTATTCCAATTATGATCACTTTCATGCTTACATATACTGTATGGGGCAATAATGAGGTGATCTGCTTCCAATCATGATTTTGCGATGCCCTTTGTTCTCTTTCCTCTATCTTGGTGTGGTGCTGTAGCTTAAAGCACTGGCCGGTTTGAACTTCAGGGTCGGTTGGGGTGGTTCAACTCACCAGCTGCTCCTCAGAACCCTAACCCTTATACAGCAAATGACGCAAAGACACTTATCAGCAACATAAACTACATTTGAATTTAAGGTCTTTTCCCCTCTAGAACAGTATGCATAAAGCCTCTGTTATGTTCCAAAACTGGGAATACAACCATAAACAAACAAGCAAACAAAGAAAAAAACAAGGTCCCTGTTTTCATGGCGTTTACATTCCAGGGATTCAATAAACCCGTTCAGCAAGGACATTACTAAAGGCAAGACATGCTTATTGCTAGAAATTCTTCAACTTCGGTTGTTGTGTTGTTCCCTTGTGCAAGGGTCTTAAGACTCTTCTGTCTTTAGCTATGAAATTTAATACTAATATTATATTGTAGTTAAGTGCCAGTCAGTTCTGATCCATAGCAACCCTGTACAGGATTTCTGAGGAGCAACTGGTGAGCATGAACTAACGACCTTGGGGTTCAAGCGACTTTGCAGTGTAGTGCATTAATCCACAGCGCCACACCAGGACTCCCGGAGTTGTTTCGTGTCCTGGAGTCAGTTTGGACTCATTGAGACCCTGTATAGGGTTTTTGAACAATGGCTGCTGATATTGCTGCTAGCAGTGCAGTCCCTATCCTACAGTGTCATACCAGGCCACACATCAGCCCTATGAAATCCTAGGCGCTGAGGGTGGAACACAGTTAGTTGCCAGAAGTTTTGAGCTCCTCAGGTTATTGCAAAGTGCAGACAAGTCTGGGAACCACCGCAGTTAGGTTTATTGGTTTTTCACAGTAACACTTGCTCATCCACAGTTTATTTTAGGTGGGAATCAGGAATCCTGGGTAGTTCAATCAGATAAATCCCTCAGTCCACTAGGTCCTGTGATTTGAAAGTCAATCTCTTCCAAACGTCTCAGTGTAGGGAGGGGCGGAGGAGGATGGGAGGGAGTCCGACTTCTGTTGCATATGCACAGTTGTTAAGTTTATGGGACCCTTAGGTATGCAGGGAGTGCAAACGCTTCCCTCGCGGCGATTGCTGGGCCTGCCCAGGGAGAAGGGAAGAACGTGGAAATTAACCCTCCTGGGGGCGCTGGGTCCGGTTTACAGAGGCAGCTGCAGTACTACGAGAAAAGATCCGCGGTCTCAGCTGCAGCCGCGACTGTCCCCAGGGGACGCGCAGCGGCGGAGCCGGCACGGCTAGAGCGGGCTCTTTTTGTACAAATCCAGACCCCGCAACCCTTGACCTAGGGCAGGAGCAGCCGCGGGGCGCTCTGGTCCGAAGCGAGCACTCCCTGCCACCATGGAGCCCAGCCCGTCCGGAGGCTCTAGGCCGGCGGAGCCGGGGCCTTGCCTGAGAGGCCCGGGCGGCGTCTGCCAGGCGACCTCGGCCTACTCTCCGAGCGAGGTGGGAGCCCAGCCAGGGTACCGCGTGGCGGCCGTGTTGCCGGCCGGGGGGTGCGGGGAGAGGATGGGCGTCCCCACCCCGAAGCAGTTCTGCCCCATCTTGGAAAGGCCGCTCATCAGCTACACCCTGCAGGCCCTGGAGAGGTAACGCGGCGCCGGCGCTCCCCACTGTCCCGGGGGCAGGTCTCCGGCTCCCGGCCCAGCCCAGCCCGCGCAGGGTTGCTCTGAGGCACCTGCCTGGGTGGCTCTCTAGCGCAGGCGCCGACATGGAGGCATATTGCTGGGCCCCACTCCACTGTCTGTGACTTACGCTTGAGATCTACTTCTAACAGCATTTCAGAGATACACAGCTCTGGCTCTTTAACAGATGGGTGCAAAACTGGAGCGATCTCACCAAACCCTACACGTGTCCAAGCCCACAGTGGGGAAAGCCCCCATGTGGACTGGAATAAAGACTGCTTGGGGAGGGTTTAAGGGAAACTTAATTCTGATTTTGTCCCAAATGAGGAGCCTTGGTGGTGCAGTGGTTAAGATGCGCGGTTGCGAACTGATAGATTGGAGGGTTTGAACCTACCACCTTGCCAGCTGTTCTGAGGGAGAAAGGTGGCTAAGTCGGCTTCGGTAAAGATTTACAGCTTTGGAAACCTTACATGATTGAATTCCTGGTGTGGCCTTGTTAGATAAGCACTTGACTGCAAACCATAAAGTCTGTGCTTCAAACCCCATCAGCGGCTCCTTGGAAATCCTATACAAGGTCATTATGAGTTGGACACCACTGCACTTAACATTGGATTGCCCTATACGTAGTGGTTACGAACCTCAGGGTCAGCAGTTCGAAACTACCAGCTGTTCTGCGGGAGAAAGATGAGGCGTTCTGCTCCCGTAGAGATTTACAGCCTCAGAAACCTTGTACAGGGTCACTATGAGTCGGAACCAACTCCACGGCACATAACAACAACAATAGAGTTATCCTATAGGATTGCTATAAGTCACAATAGGTTTCAGGGCAGTAGGTTGGGTGGATGGTCCCTAGGAGGCCTAATAAGGATCAGGTCTTCTAGGAGTCAGTCTATCTGTCTCCCTCTCTCACAGTGTGAGGATTACGCATTCTACTCCAAGCAAATCTAGTTTCCTTGGCTTTTGTTGGTTCATTCTGGTTCATTCATTTCATCCCTTTTTAGTCATTCACACTTGTTGAGTATTTTGAGACAGTCTGAAATAAGTTACCACTGTACTGCAAGTGAAGGAGTAGAATTTAACTGAAATCATTCAAAGGTGAAAAAGGATGTAAGCATGGGAGGATTTTGAAATGGAAGCCTACATTTGCTATGTCTTGAAAGAAAAGGGACGGATTAACTCGTTGGGGAAGTAAATGGAGGATGGGGAAGGGGGTTAGGGAGCAGGAGTGAGGAGCTATGGAGGTGAATGGAGGAAATGGTGTCATTTTATTACTTTTGTTTTGTATTTAGTGCCATATGACGTGGCGCAGAGGCTTGGCACTAAATGTTGGTGGTTTGAACGCACCCAGTGTCACTAGACAAGTCTAGCTAGGGATCTGCTTTAATGAAGATTGTTGTTACGTGCCAGCAAGTCGGTTCGACTCAGTGACTGTATAGGGTTTCTGAGGAGCGAATGGTGAGTTGAACCACCAACCTTGCCATTCAAACTTACCTGGCAATCCAGTGCATTAACCCTCAGCTTCAAGAAAACCATTTGAGTCGGTTTTACACTATAACAGATGGCGTCTTCACGAATCTGAAGTGACTGGAGCACCATGGATTTGGTTTTTCTGGTTAATGTGATGTGTGTGGGTAAGAACAGGATTTTCAAGGCTCTTGTTGCTAAGGTGTTTAAACTTGACTGTGTTGTAATATTTTAAGCAGTTTGCATTTTAGGGTTTCCGAGGCTGTAATCTTTATGGGAGCAGAAAGTCTCATCTTTCTCCCGTGGAACAGCTGGTAGTTTTGAACTGATGATCTTGAGATTAGCAGCCTGATTCCTAACCACTATGCTACCAGAGCTCCTTTTCAAGACAGATGTTGTTGTTATTAAGTGCCATCGAGTTGATTCCGACCCATAGCGACCCTGAATAGGGTTTTCAAGGAGCAGCTGGTGAGCTTGAACTACTGACCTTGCAGTTCAAACGACTTTGCAGTCTGACGCATTAGCCCACAGCGCCACACTTTCAAGACAGATGGCATCCTTTAATATAGCCTTTGCAAAAGGCTTTAATGAAGATCGACTTCGTTGGGCTCGAGTCTTGGTGTGGTGCTGTGGGATACAGTACTGGACTGCAAGGTCTGTTTGAGGACCATGATGGATAGTTTAAACTTACTAACCGCTCCTTGGAAATCTTGCATTGGAACTGACTTGATGGTACTTACCAACAACAAGTCTAAGGACTGTACCATGTTCTCTATTAAGGCACCCCTCTCCTTACCCATACCCTAGATGTCAGAGAGCTCAAATTACTTCTCCTATGGTTGTTTTATATTCTGAATATTGGCATTTGGGAAGTGGAAGCAGTAAAGAACCATAGTCATCCTCACTTTTTGTAATCAGACCGGTGGTTACATCTGAAACTCATACAAATATTGAAACAGTTTCAGTTGTGTCGTCTCTCATTTCTGTTTTCTTTCATTTCTCTGGGTGGAAATGTTCTTCAAATGATTGTGCGAATCAGGTTTTTACAACATGCCATTGTCAAAGAGATTGTGACAATGCAGTTCATGTTGCAGGGTCTTGGCCAGTAGGGTATTTATTTATTTATTTATTTATTTATTTACGTAGTATTCAATTGTGTAGAATTTACATTTAACTTTTCTTCTTCATGAAAATCTTTTGGATTGATCTGCATGTTTGTATCTCCTTAGCTTCTGAGACAGTTTGAGCTAGACAAACATTCTGAAAAAGAAAGGAAGAATAAAGAAAGAGGGAAAGAAAGAAAGAAAGGGTGGAAGAAAAGAACTAAAGATGAAAGGAAGGAAAATTTAAAATCTCCAAATATTTTTAACGAAAAAGAATAATCTGGAAAGGTCTTTTTTTATGGAAAGTAAGGCATAAGTACATCCATGTTTGTATCATAACACCAATCATAAAATCCTAACTAATGTTGTTGTTAATTGCCGTCGAGTCGATTCTGACCCATAGCGACCCTGTATAGGGTTTCCAAGGAGCAGCTGGTGAGCTTGAACCACCGACCTTGCACTTGAAATTACTTTGCAGTCTGATGCATTAGCCCACAGTGCCACACCAGGACTCCAGTTAATCAAAAAAATTAATCAAAACCTCCATTCTAAATACTTTATGGTTCTTTTTTTGCCACAAATAAGACACCTTAACAAAGTTAGGGAATATTTTTGTTTGTTCGGTATATCCCAGGAAATCTTTGGAAACTGTTGCAAATATGTGTGTGGATGGTTTTGTGGCCATTTATGAAATGAAATCCCTTTTGTCTCTTTTGGTAAAAGATGGACTTCATAGATTGCTGATAATTCTAGAGTATGGTGCCAAAGGCCTAACTAATTTCATTCTAAAAGATAAATTATGCAATTTCAAAAAAAAAAAAACACAAGCAGTAACATAAAATGTTTTGAAGATGTCTATTTTTATTCACTTTAGGGAAATGATATATTCTTTAAAATTATGCATCTATTGGAGTCCTGATGTGGTGCTGTAGGATAAGCCCGGGACTGCAAGGTTGTTGTTTCAAAACCACCAAACACCCCTTGGAAACCCTACACAGGGTCACTGTGACTTGAAACTGACTTCAAGGCACTTAGCAACAACAACATTCTGTTCTAACAGCTGCCTCTTCAACTATGTATAAGTTCCTCTATCATGTGATCGCCAGCATCATTTCTATCACCAAGGCCATATTTTCCAATTACTGATCTGTCTTCTTTGTTTCCAACCTTTGTATTCCAATAATCAGCAGTTATAAATACAACTTGATTGCATGTTTGATCAGTTTCAGACTGAAGAAGTTGGTAGAATTCTTCAATTTCATCATCACTGACTTTAGTGGTTGGTGTGTAAATTTGAATAACAATGGTATCATCTGGTCTTCCTCCTAGGCAAATGGTTGTTATCTTATCATGAGTATTATACTTTGACAGATCTTGAAGTGTTCATTTTGCTGATGAATGTGACATCATTCCTTTTCAATTTGTCATTCCTGGCATAGTTAACCACATGATTTTCAGGTTCAAAATGGCCAATACCAGTCCTTTTCAGCTTACTAATGCCTAGAATATCAATGTTTATGTGTTCCATTTCATTTTTTATTTCAAATTTTCCTAAATTCATACTTAGTACATTCTATGTTCCTGTTATTAATGATGTTTACAGCTGTTTCTTCTCATTTTGAGTTGTGCCCCATCAGCAAATGAAGGTTCTGACAGCTTTACTCTATTCGTGTCTTCATGGTCAATTGTACTTTGAGGAGGCAGCTCTTCCCTGATTGTACTTTGATTGCCTCCCAACCTGAGTGGCTCATCATTTCTTTCACTGTATCTGACAATATTCTGGTGCTATTCAAGATGTTTCAATATTCAATATTCTGGTGCTATTTGACAGTGTTCAGCCATTGTTCATAATGTTTTCACTGGCTAAACAATCAGTAGCTGTCTGCCTCTCTTTCTCATTCTGATTCTTATTCTGGAAGCTCAGCTGAAACGTGTCCACCGTGGGTATACCCTGATGGTATTTAAAACCCCAGTGGCATAGTTTCCAGCATCACAACAACATGCAAGCCATCCCAGTATGACAAACTGACAGACAAGTGGTTGTTGTACATCTTTGTGACATCATTTGCCTTGGTCAAGCTGTGCACACTTCACCTACTTTCAGAGTTATGTTTCTGTGTTGATAATTTTTCTTTTCGAATTTTGAATGTTTGAACTAATTATACAGACCTCGAGTAGTACTGTAAGATAAGCACTGGATTGCAATTTCGGTTTGAACTCAAAGGTCAGTTGTTCAAGTGGTTCAAATCACCAGCTGCTGCTGCGAAACCCTACATGTATCTCTATGAGACGGAACCGAGTCAGCGGCACTTAACAACATCAACAACAAGGAATGAAAATTGGCTCAACCCTGAAGTTTTGCCCCAAGTTCCCTAGTGTTAGAGTGAAATGTAAAGA